CTTTTAAATCCTCCAGAATGTGAAAGACTGCTCAGGGATTATAACTAATGCATTTTATTCTTATGACTTGCTGATTCCACCAGCAGCTGCCTTAGGGGTGCAGTTCTAATCAATGGCTTTATCCACTTGGCAATCTATACCTCAGAAACACAAATTGGAGAAAGCCATCAGTGTGTAAAAGAGACCCATAAATCAGAATGTCAGGTGGGCATAGTTCCATTTTAATAACTAGTATTTAGAGATTATTGGATAAAACATTTCATGGACACAAATTTATGATCCTCATATCCCTCCAAGATGCCACCACATCCCTGTGGGAATAGGACAGCCTTTGCTATTGTCTTCTAACAACAGGGATGTTAGCAACAGGAGAGCGAACTGCTGGTTTGTCTCTCTTTATTCAAGCTTTAAATGACTTACTGTAGGCTTCCTTTTGAATGCTAGTCATAGAGCCTCCTTCTCGTTTAAAGTGTACATACCTGTACATATGTGCAAAGATTGGCTTCCATTAGTTGCAACCCCAAAATTGCTCAGCATGTTGGCAAGTTTCTCTGTTGATATCTATACGCACAACTGGAAGTATTAGTTCAAAAGAATTAATATAAACAGCAAACAAGTTAAAGTGCAAGGGAAAATGCCACTTCTCAAGAGTCCTCTCCATTCTTTTTCCTTTGCAAACATGTCACTCATGTATGTTTAAAGTCTTCTGTTTAATTCTCCCTTCCTTTGAAAAATTCCTAAGGGTTTTTGTGAAATGTTAGAACCAGGAGCAGATGCATCAGTGGAAACTGGGTATCTTCTTGAAAATAAATCTGTAGGGCAAATAGTCAGCTGCTGCTGGGGGCTTCTATTGCGTAGAACTACCCAGAAGCAACGCAACCCTCAAGGGATTCTTAATGCCATGTTAAGGAGTCACAACCCCTAGTAGATATATGGGTACCATAAGTAAACAGTGACAGAACCTAAGATGTATATTTGACCCTCCCCCTTGAAAAAGCCAACAATCTTGGAATCTTCAAAGAAAGCAGACCAAAACCATTATGACAGGAGGCAAAAGCAGAAGTGTAACCTCATCTGTAGATAGGTGAAATATCAAGTGTGTCCTTGAGGTATGTGTGTCCTGAGCAAAACATGTGCAAGTGAGACTGGGCATCTGGGGAACTGTGCAGCGACAGAGGATCCACTGTCTAAAGTTCAAATTGAATTTCCATCATGATAAGAGTCACTTCATAGTGGAATACCATGCATACATTTTACTAAAGGGTAGAGATTTGTATGAGTGTCAGTATTTTTCTGCTTCTAAACAAACATTATGGGAAGGTAAGACCTCCAAGTCCTTGGACATTCACAAGTTCCTGTGTTAAAAGGAAAGGGCTCACCTTCAGGGTGATGCCATAAGAAGCCACAAAATAAATACTGTCCAGTAGACAGAACACAAAATACTGCTTGAGTAATTAAAATGACAGCAGAAGCATAGCACTTAGCCAAGAAGATATATCTCACTTGTTTCCAGTTGCATAAAGACACCTCCAACTCATTCTGGATTATGTCTGTTCCTGCCGGGTTTATTTTCATAGCTGGCATCAAAGAGCACTTGTATAAATTTCCCTGGCATTGTATAAAAGAGTTCAGTTGGGTTTCCCACTATCTCTTAACTGTCCTCATATATGCAGTGTGAATCTACCATAGATCACTTTTGAGTCACATGGTCACGCACTTTCCTCAAACTGTCCTTAAAGGACACATAATGAGAGATATGAGCCTAAGACTCAACAGTGACTAATAATAAAATTTACCCCCCAAAGTTTTAATAATAAAATTACCCCCAAAATGCAAAATTTTTAGTTTAATTCTTTTAGAAGGACAGCTAATATGTCTACCTTTCATTAAGGCTGCAGAAAAGAAAGTTATCAGGGATTATAATATACAAATGTACCTCTTCTCTTGTAACCAACACTAATTTTTACAGTTTTCCACCTGATTTTCTGCCTTCTTCACTGAGGACTTTTAATAACATTTCACTGAGCTCTTGGTTTTCTTTCTTTCCTGCAAGCAACTCCTGTCAAATCATCCCAACCCTCTTGTCAAACCCCAGAAGTAATTTCGCTTCTGGACTAAGCATCAAAGCCCTAGCTATTTCTGTAGTCTGCCCCTCTTTCAGTCACACTCATCCTCTGAGAATAAAATCCTTCCTTAAAAATGGAAGCCACTGCACTCATTATGCCTTAGGTACTCATTTCCCAGTGACAGCAACAGTCAGCAAACTTCCTCCGGACACAGAGTGAGGCCCATGTTTTGCAGTCTTCAAGCCTGGCCAATGCAGGGGCAGTCTCCACTCTAGCTACCCCCAGGGCTGTCTTAGAAAGCCACCTTGCCCAACATGCACTCATTCAACAAATAGCTGTTGAGCTGCCAGGAACTATTCTAATCACTGGGGTGCAACAATGAACAACAGACAAAAATTCCACCTTCGCGGGGAGTACATGCCGATGAAACAGGCGAGTTGAGACTTCAACATGGGAAAGTTGCTCTCTGTCAAAGTCCATGTCATAAATGATTCACAGGAATCCTGTCTTTCTCTTATTTTTTAACTTTGTCTTTTATAAGATGTTCCTCACAATTTTTTAGGCATTCAAAAATGGGAGGGTGTGGATGAAAGAAGGTGAAGGGATTCGCCAAAAATCATAAACACAGACAACTGTGTGGTGACGGCCAGAGGGAAAGGGAGATGGGGGCTAGGTGGAGGTGGGCAAAGGGTGGGGGGAAATGGGGATGGAAAGAGACTTGGCTTGGGGCGATGAGCGCAGGAGGCAGGTGCAGATGATGTTTTGTCGAGTTGTACGCTTGACACCTGTATGGTCTTGTGAACCAATGTCACCCCAATAAATTCAATTTTTAAAAATGGGAGGGTGCAGGAAAGCTTTGGGAAACAGAATCTGTGATATCTTCACTCTACCAAGAATTCTATTTAACCAGGCATTCTGCTCTTTACCTCTACCAATACTTTATCCTTTGTTTCTAACCAGTTTATGGAAGGACTCTGCTATGAGCTTGTGTATGTAAGGGGGAGACACAGGGCTGTATCTCCGCAGGGAGTATCATAATTATACCATTCAGTAGTAATAAGGAGAGGGATTTTTAAGTTTCTCTTTATCAAAACTTTGTTCATTTAGTCTTTGTAGCAAGAAGTTAAAAAAATATGCAAGCTCACTCTTAGAGCATGTTTTTGATTATAATGCCAATTTCTCCATCAATCAAATTTGCAAAATAAAAAGGGAAGTTCTTACTGTTAACATGAACTTTGCATGAATTTTAGATCCCAGATAGACTTTTAAATTCACTAAATCTAGTTATTTTTTAAACTGAAAGTTTGCTGGGTGGTCCACAATATAATCAGGTGACATCACAGTGGAAGCCAGGGTGGTATGGGCTCTGAAGCCTGGCGACCTTGGCCTTCTTGCAGAGCCCTGGTGTCCCTGGAAGTGCCATTTGAAGGCTGTTAATCTAGGTCAAGTCCTCTTGTTCATGTCTGGAAGACACCGAGACCCAAGGAGATTGAGTAATTTACTGAAAGTTGCAGTATGGCAAGGACTGGGACTCAGGCTTCCCGCCACATGTTCTTTCTACTGTGCCCTTGCCGGCTCGCTCTCATTTTCCAATATTCAAAGAAAAATATAAAAATCAACGGGATTTCTGTGCTTTGTGATCCAACTCTGTCTAAATTCAAATCTCCCCGCTTAGCAACACTGGGGAAGCATTTCCTTTGCCCTCTGGAGGCAGGTGCCCAGGCTCTGCTCCCTGAGACATGGCGAGGGGCAGATCTTTGCCTGTGTGTCTAGAAGTTGGAGAATAAGATGTGCTGGGAATAGTCTGGGGAAGGGGTGTTCCTGAGTTTCCTCACTCTTAGCTCTAGGTGGGGGCTGAAGTATTCTTGCCCCAGGAAGCCCTGTTTTTAACAACAGAGGCTTGATAAGCTACACTTGGCATCATCATTCCCCTGTACTACTCTAAAAATGGCCATAGAATGCCACCCCCCTTAAAGCCCACAAAGGACATACTAAGTCACAAGGCTTTGTGAGCGGGTCCCCAGCAAGGCTGGCCCTTGCTTCTCTTCTTCTAAAGTTGTCCCCTCGGAAAAATGAGCATGCCCTTTCAAACAGACACCAGGGTTGACCATCTTTACTGCCGGCTGCTAGTTGGGCAGGAAACCTGATCAAGGCCTTACCTGGTGTCTGACACTGAGGACAGCCTGGTTCCCCCCTCCCCCACCTGGGCCTGCCAGCCTGGCCTCCAGGCTCCTTCTCAGGGGGACGCTGGCAGGAACAGCGCCGGCAGGAGAGGAGTTCGCAGTAACTCACTTTAGCTCCCTTATCGGCAGCTTCCTGGCCCATGTGAGCCACAGCCCACTTCCCCTCTGCCCCGCGCGATAGAGCCAGGGCCCTCCCTCCGGCCCCCGGGCCCACCCAGCCCACGTCCAGTTAACTCTTCGTG